CGGTGAGGAGGGGTGCCAGCGCGCGTGCCCACTCATCCTCGGGCCATGCCTCATTCTTAGCGGTGGTTTCAAAGACCTGCAGGAAGGCTTCTACGTCGTCATCAACGGTCATTTTCGGCAGCAGGCGTGTTGCTTGGGCGCGAGAATCAGGTAGCGGAATGCGCTGGGTGGCGGAAGCACCAATGGCGATGAGTTCTTCCTCCGTCCTGCCCTGGCGAGTGGCAAGATGTTCCACAATTTGTTGCTGGCGGATGCTCACTTCAGTGAGGCGTTTTAATATTTCCTCCATTGCGGGGATGAGCGTGCCGCTTTCCGCCACCTGTAGTGCACAGGAAAAGAGAAAAAAAATTCAGAGGTTGGGGCGGTGAACTTGTCGGTGATTCTTCATGAACTTGCCCGCATTCTCCACCACTGTCACGGGGTGAAGAAACACTCGACAAGGCTGGCTTTGTGAAAAGGCCCCAGAGGGTGGATTTATTTACAATCAAATAAAGTTGGTGAAAGAAGTTCAGATGGCTTGTGGTGGCTGGTGCTTTAAGTGCTCTTCCGTGCTCAATTCAAATGAAAGTGGGTTTCCAAAACGTGCTCCACAAATGATGGGCTGTCGGTCACTCGCTGCTTTCTGGAGAGAATAGAGAGAAAGGTTAGACCAGCACTTCCATTCAGTTCGAGACTAGTGTCTGTCTGTTTGCTAAGCATGTGCTGCTTATGTGGCTGTGGGCTGATTGGGAGCAGCTGTGACCGATCAGCCAGCGATGAGGACGTGCAGGTGTTTTGTGTTGGTTGCCAGGGCGACGCTGCTTCCTCTGAGGGTGCTCGTCACAGTATATATTAGGGGTGGGCCGTTATGGGCGTTAACGTGCTGCGTTAACGTGAGACTCTTGTCGGGCGATAAAAAAAATATCGCCGTTAATCTATTCTCACAGTTGAGTTGGGAGCTGACTATACCACGCAAGCTATGATGACTTTCACTTTGATATTTTAGCGCAGATGTAGTCGAATTGCACTGTAAGGGCCATTTAAAACCAATATATTGAAACGTCTGTTTATCCAGACATTAGGAAAATATCAGAGATGCATTTTATATTTAATATGAGGGAAATACACATCCGTAAAAGGGGTCGCACACCGAATGAGAAGCGCAGCGCCGCGCCACATCTAGGGGGCTGTTTACACCTGGCCACTTCATGCGTTTTCTCAGATCGGATAGCTATCTGATTTATCAAAACGATTCAATTTACACCTGGTCACATACATGTGTTTTTGCAAAACGGATTTAAATCTGATCTTCAATTCCCCCACGCTGTATGCGGATTTATGAAGTGCACGTCACCGAAAGCAACGATAGCTTATGAGCTGCATTTTGATCATCGGCTAATTTCAAAACCAACAAAGAGAGCAATAAGAGAGAGCGGCAACCTGGTAAGATCATGTAGTTTCTTTACTTTTAATGAAGATGGTAACGTTAGTGTTAAGTGTCTGCGACTTACTTTCACTTTGATTTGTGATAGATTGTGGCACGCTGGCTTGATAGGCGCTCAGCTGCTCATCTGAGGTGATGCGCGTCGCAGTAGCGCCGTCATATCTGACTAAAATAACATGACATATGGCCTATAACACGCTCACACGTTTATTTTTTTTTAGCATTTTTGGGAGTAGTAACATTTACATATGTGGTTTCAACAACCAGATGCATTTACACATGTCCAGTTTCGTCTGGAATGTGGCCCAGACTACCTTCTGATGTGGTTTGAGTGATCGGAGTTTCGGAGGGCATTTACACCTGGTCTTTTCAAGATCGGATACAGAAAACGTAAGAAGTGATTTCAGAGCATCCGTTAACTGAATTAATTGAGAATCTCACCTGAAAATCCAATAACATCAGCAATTGTCATTCAAGCAGCTGATTTCTGTATTAGGCTATGCATTAAATGCATTCATCAGATATTTCATCCATCTCTATTTATTTGTATTGTAAGAAAAAGAGCTTCCCAGACACTACAAAATAATTAATTTCGTGTTACATAGAAGAAAAGTAGATCAAATGGTTTTAGAATTGCACAAGAAAACCTAATATAAACATTCCAGTGTTATATATGAACAATAATATGAATAATTCCAGCGTTAAATCTTGTAATAGAATATGAACATTCCAGTGTTAAATCTTGTATAAAACATATTTAGGCCTAATTACAAACTACCTGCGAGGTTATTTATTTGGGTATAGCACACGCCTTTGGTAGAATTCAAATTAATCCATTTTAATCTAGATTAATCTAGATTAATTTCAAAATTAATCTAGATTAATCTAGATTTAAAAAAATAATCTATGCCCACCTCTAGTATATATGTATAGGTATTTTCTACTTTTGAAGAAATGTGTAAATAAAATAAAAAGTCATTTCACATCCTGCCCAATTTTGTCCAACAAACTATGTTCATGTTGAAGGCTATGAAAACAATAGTTAATGTAACCATGTAGGCTATGCTATATACACATTTAGGTAATACTTTAATTGAAGGGGTGTGCATAAGACTGACATGGCACTGTCATAAACATGAAGAAGTCTTTATGAATGTTTATGACTGCATTAAAAGTGTCATAATTTACTGAATGACACATAATGACAACAAAGTTGACATTATTTAAAAAGTCTTTGTTATGACAACTTGACATTAACAAAGAAATCATAACTAGTCCGATGTCTTCCACTTTACTTGAGGTAAGGGAAATATTAATGACACTGTTGTGAAAGCATTTGACAGTGTAATAACCCTTAATGACATATTTATAACAAGTACAATGTGTTCCACTTTACTTGAGGACAAGTAAAATAGTCATGTCACAGTTATAATGGTGTCATGACGGCCAAAGTTAAAACCAACCATAACATATGACAGGGTAATGTAATGTTAACACAAAGCTAAGTAACTTCTTCAAGTTTGATAATTAGACCTGTTATGACATATTTGTGACAGGTTATGATTTCTTGGTTAATGTCAAGTTGTCATAACAAAGACATTTTTTGTCTATGTTAATGTCAAGTTGTCATAACAAAGGCATTTTAAACAATGTCAACTTTGCATTAAAAGTGTCATAATTTACCGAATGACACTTAATGACGACAGTCATAAACATTCATAAAGACTCCTTCATGTTTATGACTGTCATGCACACCCCTTCAAATAAAGTGTTACCCACATTTATTCTGCAAAAAAAATAAGAAAAGAAAAGAAAGTATACAAGACTAAATGGTTACTGTTAAGAGGCACACATTTACTCGTCTGAGCTTCTACTATCTGAGTAATTATAATAGCCTACATATGATTACTCCATTACAATAGTCACTTTACAGTAATTTATATTATACAAATACATTTACTTCTACATGTACAAGTTCTACATATAACATATTAGCATAAAATTCTTATGCGATCAGGTTGTGATTTAATTATCAGTTATTATTATCAATTATACCTAGACAATTCACCTTTGGCTAAGCCATGCCCTACAATGTAGATTGACCAATCACAGCGCAGCCAAGAACCAGCTCCCACAGAGGTCCAACACTTTTTCACAGCGCTCCATTGACTTTCAACACAGGCGTCTCATATTTTTGGTCTTGGCAGGCTATTACCGTCGTAATTTTATCAAAAATATGGTTAAATGTTGTGCCTCGGGCATTTGTAACACAGATACGCGTTTCCCAGAGAGGTTGGAGGGGGGTGTCCGTTTTTTTCCCTTCCCAAAACCGAAGTCAAATCCTGACAAGTGTCGTCTTTGGATTAAACTGTGTGGACGTCCTCAGTCAGCTAAACCCCGCAAAGATCAACAAGCACATCTTTTTTTACTTCTAACCTTACTGTGAGTGTGAAGTTATACTAGTTGGACCGTTTTATAATGTTTTAGGTTATGATTTCGGTTCTCATACCGGTTGTTGATACGCTAGCACACGCTGCTAATAAATACAACGTTATACTCGTGTAGTCCGTTTGCTTTGCAATAACGATTATAGAAGTGAATAGAGACCTACCCAGCTTTGCCTGAACAGTGTTGCTCCCTGATATTGTTAGTCCCAGCCTCCGTCTCGATTAGTAGGAAATGCGGTGGTTCATTTTTTGACTGTAACTGGTAACGTTATGCTTTTGCCTCTATTTTGGATGCCTTGTTGTTTCTTGCGTTTCACCTGTATGTCTTGAATATAGCCTTCGAACGCATATTGCAGCCCCTTTTGCCTACTTCTTTCGGACACTTTATTTGCTGCTTTATAAAAGTTTAATAACATTTCAGCAGGAAGAGCTGTTACAGCATAAGCCACGCAGAGCGCAGATGAAGTTTGACAGATGTAGCAACAGTAACTAAGGGGGGCGGGGCTTAGCCAAAGGTGAATTAACCACAAAGGATTATAATTAATTGCATATGTAGACTTTATTTTACAGACAGGTTACAATTAGCTCAATTGTATATTAATACTTAATCAAAACAGATTATAATTAAATATTAATTTATTAATTAGTCTATACAACCTGAAAAAAAATCTTATATCACTATAAGAGTAATTTTATTTCACAATAACAATATACATCACAGTATAATAATTTTCACTTTAAAAGGGTCATATTATGCCCTTTTACAAAGTCTTGTTTTTGTTTTGGGGTGTCCTAGAATATGCTTTTATAATGAATTGTTCAAAAAACAAATTTTTTTTTTACATATTTTACACCATTAAAGCAGTGGTTTACATTAAACATTCGGGCCCATCTGGCATCTTAAAAATAATTAAAACGAAAATTAAAACAATTAAAAAAAACAATTTGATACTGGGAAGAACATTAAAAGATGTCTTCTGAAGAAACCCCAATTGCTTTCAGGCAATACTGTTAATGTGGGACACTTGTTTTGCCAAAGTGGAATGCTTCATATTTCTACTTAAAAATTCTAGACAGGGAAGTGTACTTGAATATTAAACATATTGAATGAATAAATGTATAGGTCAAACCTCAGTATGTTGAGTTGACAGTTTGGACTCTTCAGTCCCGTACAGAGCAGCTTCACTCCTGAATCCTGCAGGTGATTGTAACTCAGGTCCAGCTCTCTCAGGGGGGAGTTTGTTGAGTGTAGAGCTGAAGCCACAATTTCACAGTGCTGATCTGTGAGATTACAGGCTGTTAATCTGAAAAAGGAGAACTAATAGTATTAATTTGGTTGAAAATGTATGCACAGTACAATTTGTACAGTATTGTTTGTGAACACACATTCCTAAATTACTCATTAAAACTAATAACTAATTCTTAGAAATTATGTTCATAGGGCTGGGAAACATAGACAAAACAATCTTATCTCTGTCTTTCTTTTTTTGGCTGAATGGTTATATACAATATAAATAAATATTTGGGTATTTTCTACTTTTTAAAGAAATTTTTAAATAAAATAAAAAGTTATTTAATATCCTGCCAAATTTTGTCCAACAAACTATGTTCATGTTGAAGGCTATGAAAACAATAGTTAATGTAACCATGTAGGCTATGCTATATATATATATATATATATATATATATATATATACAGTATATATATATATATATATATATAATAATAATTATATAATTAAAAATTAAAAAGAAAAACAATTTAATACTGGGAAGAAGAACATTAAAAGATGTCAGGCAATACTGTTAATGTGGGACACTTGTTTTGTCAAAGTGGAATATCTCATATTTCTTCTTTAAAATTCTAGACAGGGAACTGTACTTGAACATTAACATATTGAATGAATACATGTATAGGTCAAACCTCAGTATGTTGAGTTGACAGTTTGGACTCTTCAGTCCCGTACAGAGCAGCTTCACTCCTGAATCCAGCAGGTGATTGTGACTCAGGTCCAGCTCTCTCAGGGGGGAGTTTGATGATTGTAGAGCTGAAGCCACAATTTCACAGTGCTGATCTGTGAGATTACAGGCTGTTAATCTGAAAAAGGAGAACTAATAGTATTAATTTGGTTGAAAATGTATGTACAGTACAATTTGTACAGTATTATGCTAGTGAATACAAATCCATGAATTACTCATTAAAACTAATAACTAATTCTTAGAAATTATGTTCAAACAACATAGACAAAACAATCTTATCTCTGTTTTTCATTTTTTTTTTCTTTTTTTGTTGGCTGAATGGTTATATACAATATAAATATATATTTGGGTATTTTCTACTTTTTAAAGAAATGTTTAAATAAAATAAAAAGTTATTTCATATCCTGCCAAATTTTGAAAACAATAAAATTTACATGTTGCTATAAAAAAAGTTACTGTAACCATGTAGTCTATGCAATATATACATACTGTACATTGTGCAAAAAAAAAAAAAATAACAATAATAATTCTAACATTGTAACAACAACATTATAATCTAAAAACCAAAATGTTTTTTTTTTTAACTGAAGCTTAATTCACTGCAAATAAATAATAAAAGCACAAATTAAACAGTAACTGATAAGAGGCACACATTTACTTATCTGAGCTTAGTATATTAGCCTGTATATGATTACCCCATTACAATAGTCACTTTACAGTTACTTATATTATAAAAATAAATTTACTTGTAGTCTTGTAGTTTACAGTTCTACATTTAGCACATTTAATTTCCAACAAAAAATATTATAGAAAAATATATATTTCAGTCATAATTATGCCGCTCCTATTCTGTTATGCTACAGTATGTGTTTGGCGTGCAGCAGCACTTGTTCACTGAAGTCTCTAAAGTTTACTGAAGACTTGATTGCATTAAATTTGTCCACTCCTGATAACAAAATGGAAATATTTTTGACCTTCCAACATTTAAACATGGTGAATATACCTGTGAAATGTAAGTTATGCACTGATGAAAATATGTATCAAACGCATTAAACAGCAAAAGGTTTCTGTTAGAGCATCTAAAGGGGCAAGTGTTAAATTATATGCATTTACTGTATATTAAGGTTCAAAATAACTCATAAGGTAAAGCATATCTCATATAGGACAATGGCATTTGTTCCTGCAGATTTTTTTATTTTCACACTCACAGAGCTTTTCTGCAGTTCCTCACAGCAGGTAGCAGTCTCCATTTACCCTCTTTTGATTTAAATTTGTACTGCATGAAGTCAAACTCATCCATCACCTCCTCCGACATCAGGATCATGTTCGCCAATGTTGAGCATTGTGCAAGAGAGAGACTTTTTGTTTTTGTTTCAGAGTTTAAAAATGCCTGCATGTCTTCAACAACAGAATGATCCTTCATCTCAATCAAGCAGTGTGACAGATTCATCCATCTTTCAGGACTGACATTGTTTTTTTGACCTCGTTTGAGGTTGTGGATTATTTTCTTGATGCTCTCTGGGTTGTTCTCTGTGTGAATCAGCACATCCTGTAAGAGTCTCTGGTTGGACTCCAGTGAGAGGCCATGAAGAAATCGAAGGAAAAGATCCAGGTGTCCATTTTTACTGTTTAAGGCTTTATTCATTACTCCCTTCAGGAGCTCATCCAGAGGAACATTTACAGACTGAGTTCTGGACTTTCCAGTGAGGAACATTTTCATAACTTCACTGTTCTTGTGTAAATAGCAGAAAAACACATACAGTGCTGCAAAATACTCCTGAAAGCTGAGATGTACAAAGCTGTAAACCTTCCTGTGATAAATCACAGATTCCTCCCTAAAGATCTCAGTGCAAATCCCAGAATACACTGAGGCGTCAGTGACGTCTATGCCGCTCTCAATCAGGTCCTCCTCATAAAACATCACATTGCCCTTCATCAGCTGATTGAAAGCCAGTTCAAAAAGTTTCACAATCACTTCTCTGTTGGAGTGCAGGAGTTTCTCTGGATCTCTCTCTTCATACTTCTGGTTCCTCATATGAGTTTGAATGAGGAGGAAGTGTATGTACATTTCAGTCAGAGTTTGAGGGATTTCTGCACTCAGATCTTGTTTCAGGATGTTTTGAAGCACAGTGGCTGAGATCCAGCAGAAGACGGGTATGTGACACATGATGTGGAGGCTTCTTGCTCTTCTGATGTGAGAGATGATTCTGCTGGCTTGATGCTCATCACTGATTCTCTTCCTGAAATATTCCTCCTTCTGAGGCTCATTGAATCCCTGAATTTCTGTCACACGGTTGATGTATTTGGAGGGGATCTGATTGGCTGCTGCTGGTCTGGTGGTGATCCAGATGAGAGCTGAGGGAAGCAGATCTCCTTTCATGAGGTTTGACATCAACACACCCACAGATGAAGACTCAGTCACATCAGAAACTTTCTCACTGTCTGAAAACATCAGTGTCAATCTGCTTTCATCCAGACCATCAAAGATGAACACAACTGTACATTCATCATACATCTCTGAGTCCAGATCTCGAAGTTCAGGATGAAAGTCCAGCAGAAGTCTGTGAAGACTGTACTGATGATCTTTAATCAAGTTCAGCTCTCTAAATGGAAGCACAAACATGAAATCTACATCCTGATTGGCTTTTCCCTCGGCCCAGTCCAGAATGAACTTCTGCACAGAGACGGTTTTCCCAATTCCAGCGATGCCTTTAGTAAGAACAGTCTTGATTTTGTCTTTCTTTTCTCTTCTCTTCTCCTCATATCCTGGTTCAGGTGAAGGATCAAAGATGTCATTGCAGTGGATTGGAGTGTCTTGGAGGTTCTTGTAACTTTTCTCCATCTGTAGCACCTCATGTTCTTCATTCACTCCTTCACTCTCTCCCTCTATGATGTACAGCTGTGTGTAAATCCTGTTCAGGAGAGTCTGATTCTCTTGTAGTTTGATTCCCTCAAATACTCTCTCATATCTGTTCTTCATGCTGGTTTTGTGCTGGTCTTTGACTCTCTGAAGATCATCATGCACTGGCTGGTGAGAATCGAGCTGCAGGGCTGCTTCTGTGTCATGATGACTGATGTGTTTCTGACAGGAGGAGGATGAGCTGGTCTGACAGGACACATCTCTGATCTGGTCAGCTCTCCCACCACTGAAAACACATTAAAACAAACAGAAAGGGTATTTATCAAAATAGAGAAAATATCTAAATATCTTTAATATTAAAAATATTACTAAAAATAATACCACAACCAAATGATAAAGAAGTGTTTGACAGGTTTGTTAAACAAACCAATTGTGCGCATAATAAATCTATTGTGGCCAGTTGATTTTAAGACAAAGTTCCTCAAGGTTCTGTTCCCATTCAATATTGTACAATTTGTACGTCTCCCCCTTAAAGAACAAAAAATATATGGGAATATACTACAAAATTTAATGCAATATATCACAATACATTTCCATACATGGAAAACTAATGTTTATATTTTTTTAAATACTAAAATATAACCATTGGCCACTGACAACAGGCCACTTGTCTTTTCTTTTTTTTTACCATGGTTCAGTATTTTTAATTCTAAAGTAATAAACATTACATAATTCCTAAAAATGTCATAATTTCATTACAGTTAAACTAGATCTAAAATGAAATTAGACCAATATAAGTCAATTAATTCAACATGGCATCATGACTTTTGCGTAAACATACACGCCACTTTCAAGTCAAGTGGCGTGTTATCTATTCGCATTTTGAGCTATCCGTGTGTATGTCCACGCTGAAACGAACCGTCATCTTTTGCATGTATGCCTACGCCGTTAAATGTCCGAGTGATTCCGCATGTATGTACACGCCGTTAAATGTCTGAGAGAAACAAAGCAAAATGTAGATCTACATCTGGGGAGCGATATTTTTTTCCTAGGATGGTAGGGGGAAGAATCATAAATGGTATTAACCCCAGTGACGGGTAGGTTTAGGGGGACGGGGTTGGGGTAGGTCATATATTTATATATACAGTAATGTAACGTTAAGTCAACGGCGTTCATAAACACGCTGAAAAGCGATTATGCATGTTGATAGCCAGTGTTGTGCAAGTTACTTCCAAACTGTAATACATTAGGTATTACTTGTTACTGTTATTTAAAAGTAATTCATTACCTTACAATATTACTGTCTCAGAATTGTAATGCGTTACATTACTCATGTATTACTTTTGAGTTACTTTCACCAAAATAACTAAGTAGAACTTAACTTTTGGGCTGTAACGATATGCAATATGAAACCGAAATCGCGATTCGCCACACGACTCAGATCCACGAACCTACAGAATCGCGACACACGTCTTCCAACTCCAGCGTTATTCTCCTTACCGTCCATATCCACTGCTGCCTTATCTTTAAATTAGGCTATTAGTATTATTTGAAGTTAACATTATAAAATACGTAGACCTACACCACAAAACTAGTTGAGGATAAATTATTTAAAATTGGGGAAGTCCAGCATTATGGACATGATGACATTTGCAGTCAAAACTTGAAATAAAAATTCTCATAAAATTCATGTATTGAAACGTATATAGGCTACTTCCTTAAAGGACTCGAAACATTACAAATATCAGTCTGTTTTATTTTTAATATTAGGGAAAAGACACACATTCATGCGTGACAAAAAAATAGGAGGCAAAATATATTTTTTGTAATTCTGTTAATTACACTGCGCAAATCGGATGAGGAAGGGTTGGCTCTCCAGTCTCCATTGAACTTAAAATATTCATTTTATTTTAGTTTTCATGTTCGCATTTATGAGGAAAAAACAATGTTACAGACGCGACCGCTCTGAACCGGCACTAAAAGACTGCTTTAAAACTTTCACATAGTCTGTTGCCTTTAAGAAGTAAAAGCAGACAATACACTGTAATACAACTGTAATACAAGCCTCACTGAACATGTAACGAGTAAAATATTACTGAAAATTGATTAGTAATGCCTTACACTACTGCGTTACAGCAAAAAGTAATATGTTACTGTAATGTATTACTTTTGTAATGCGTTACTCCCAACACTGTTGATAGCACGCCAAAAACGGAAATACGAATTGGCGTGTCATACATAGGCCATTTCATGAGATCAGTCTGATTAATTAAACATTATTAAATTAATAAAACAATATAAGTTGGACCAAACTAAGACAATTAAATAATAGTAAATTGACTCAATTGAATAGTAAATAAAAAATTCAATATAGGCCTACCTTAGTACATGAATTAAATTATGATGAATTATGTAAGAAGATTCAGTTTGACAAACCTAATAAAGTTGATATAATCCAACTAAATTTTGTTGACCCTTTTAAAGTGACTTTATTTGAATAAAGTAAATTAAACCAAGTTTAAAAGCGTTCCTAAAATAAACATAGGGTAATGAGTACATTTTTAAAACTGCAGTCAGTAGATTTTTTTTGGTTAAAAATGATCCAAAATATTTTTTTGAGAAAATACATAACCAGCCAGTGTTCAAAACTCTCTGCTTGCCTTAGCTCGGTTAAAAGCGGTAAGCTTGTAATAATGTTTTTAATTCCAGTGGTACTGGTGGATTTCCGCGGGAGATTCGAGCATGTCTTTGCGTCATTCCGTCACAACTGTACACATAAAGGAGTCTTGTTTAGTAGGCTATTGTCACGGGGTTTGGTGGTGGAGTGCAGGCAGAAGGAACAGGGGGAGTCCAGGTTAACACGAAGATACTAATTTATTACAAAATACAGGCAGGAAGACAGGGTTTCACCGAGTAACATTCAACATTGACCGACAAAGACTGAATGAGGGAGAATACAAGCAGGAATCAGACATAATGAGGTGAGAACAGGTGACACAGATGATAAAGACGAGGAACAGGTGGCTGATGAGGGAGTGAGTTCAGGAGTGGAGACAAGAGGATCCTGGGAAGTGTAGTGCTGATGACAAGACAGACTGGTGCAGACGGAGGACTGTGACAGTACTCCCCCCTCCCGGTAGGCGTGACCTCACGCCGTAACATCAACGGGGAGGGGGGGTGGGCGCCCTGGAGGCTGTGGAGGGCGTGGTCTGGAGTAGGAGGCCCTCCAGGGTGGAGCAGGATGAGGGCGTGGCCAGGGCGGAGCAGGATGGGGGCGTGGCCAGGGCGGAGCAGGATGAGGGCGTGGCCAGGGAGGAGCAGGATGAGGGCGTGGCCAGGGCGGAGCAGGATGAGGGCGTGGCCAGGGCGGAGCAGGACATGAGGACCCTTCGGGCGGCCCCGACGGTGAGGGTCCTTCGGGCGGCCACGGCGGTGAGGGCCCTTCGGGCAGCCATGGCGGTGAGAGCCCTTCGGGCGGCCACGGCGGTGAGGGTCCTTCGGGCGGCCATGGCGGTGAGGGTCCTTCGGGCGGCCACGGCGGTGAGAGCCCTTCGGGCGGCCACGGCGGTGAGGGTCCTTCGGGCGGCCACGGCGGTGAGGGTCCTTCGGGCGGCCACGGCGGTGAGGGCCCTTCGGGCGGCCGTGGCTGGACTACTGGGCCCCCCCAAAAAAAATATTTGGGCTGAGTCCCCGGGTTAGCGGCAGACGGGGAGTTGACGGTCTCGGGCTGGACGGCCTCGGGCGATGGCTGGACGCCCTCGGGCGATGGCTGGACGGGGCTGGTCGAACCAGCGGTGAGGGAAGTTCGGGCTTGGCAGGGCTGGACGGGACCAGCGGTGAGGGGAGTTCATGCTCGGGAGGGCTGGACGGAACCAGCGGTGAGGAGAGTTCATGCTCGGGAGGGCTGGACGGAACCAGCGGTGAGGAGAGTTCATGCTCGGGAGGGCTGGACGGAACCAGCGATGATGAACGCTCGGGCTCGGCAGGGTTGACGCGGAGCGCAGGCTCGGCAGGGCTGATGGTGAGCGCAGGCTCGGCAGGGCTGGACGGGACCAGTGAAGAGGAGGGTTCGGCTGTTACCGTGAGGGACGAACCACAGACCCACAGAGCCCGGTCCAAAAACTCCGAAAACGACAGATGGAGGTCATTGAGCAGGAGAATCTGGGCTAAGGGATCGTCCAAACCTCTCCAGAACCGCTGTTTGAGAAAATCTTCCTCCCAGTATGGGTCCTGGTGCAGGTGAAGATATACCTCAGTGAATTCCTCCAGAGAGGCCCCATTTTGATCAACGATGAAAGCCTCCATCTGGTCGTCCATAATGTAATTTCGGTCGGTCAATCTGTCACGGGGTTTGGTGGTGGAGTGCAGGCAGAAGGAACAGGAGGAGTCCAGGTTAACACGAAGATACTAATTTATTACAAAATACAGGCAGGAAGACAGGGTTTCACCGAGTAACATTCAACATTGACCGACAAAGACTGACTGAATGAGGGAGAACTAAATACAAGCAGGAATCAGACATAATGAGGTGAGAACAGGTGACACAGATGATAAAGACGAGGAACAGGTGGCTGATGAGGGAGTGAGTTCAGGAGTGGAGACAAGAGGATCCTGGGAAGTGTAGTGCTGATGACAAGACAGACTGGTGCAGACGGAGGACTGTGACAGCTATATTGAGTCATTACGTCACATCTGTACACATAAAGGAGTCTCGGCTAGATTGAGTGTGAGGATGTTGGAGGTGGAGATGCCTTTTCTCACAGCACTTGATATAATTAAACTTATCAATTTGATGGCAGATCCAGAAAGGTTCAAACAACAATCACCAGTAACAACAGACTCACCCGCAAAACTTTTTCTTACAAAAGACAGAAGAAAGAGACTGCAACTGGACATGCGAAAACAAGGATATATATCGGAAGGACATTACATGTAGTCACGCAATGCTGACTTTGTTAACATTAACCATTTGAGAACAAAGTATAATTTGCATGGTTTTACGTGATATGATAAGCAATTGTTATATTTAATCAGCGCGGTTTACTGCAATGTCAGAACCAGAACAAAAGTGGATGTTTCTTACTTGTTCAGTTTACATTTTTAGTTTTCATTGAAAACTATAATGTTGATCATACTTCCAAAAAGAATAATATGTGATTCTGAATGCCAGTATCCACACCGGCGCGGTGACTGACAGCCTCACACTCTCTTCAAACACTGTGTTCATCCGCGCTGTGCCGTGCCGAAGCACAACTCACGTAAAGTTGATTCCGTAAATAACTGCAATTGCAGATTTCAAACAGAGATGGTGACAAAGAGGAAAAACTGCGGACTGCAGCTTTAAGTGCACATGAATATACTCACACAGGGCCGAAGGGCACGGCTTTATTCCAGAGATCAGTGGGGTGAATCATGGGTCTGTTAGTCTTCACTGACACACATCTGGATACTGGAGATGCTTCTATCTTTCTCTTCCTGCTGATGATACTGAGAAAAACAGAGATATATTTCAGATCATAATAAGATATACACTACTGTGCAAAAAATCTTGTATTTTCACCTCCCAAAAACAGCTTTAAGTCGGTTATTTATATATTTTGTCAGTAGGAATTATCAGTTTTTACATTTAATTATTTTGCCATTAATTGTTACAATCCAGTGATTTTTTTGTATGCACACAGAGTCTGACAACAGTCTTTATGATCTGATCTCACCATCATCGAGTCAGGCTGTGATTATCCAGCAGCCATATCACCCTGTAGCCCAAGCCTGGTTGCCCACTAAAGCTAAGCAGGGCTGAGCCTGGTTAGTACCTGGATGGGAGACCTTCTGAGAAAACCAGGTTGCTGCTGGAAGAGGTGTTAGTGAGGCCAGCACGGGGTGCTCACCCTGTGGTCTGTGTGGGTCCTAATGAACCAGTATAGTAATGGGGATAATCTACTGTCAAAGAGCACTGTCCTTCGGATGAGACGTTAAACCGAGGTCCTGACTCTCTGTGGTCATTAAAAATCCCAGGATGTCTTTCGAAAGAGTAGGGGTCTTCCCGGCATCCTGCCCAAATTTGCCCAGTGGCCTCTGTCCATCATGGCCTCCTAATCATCCCCATATATACCAATTGGCTTCATCACTGTCTCCTCTCCACCAGTAAGCTGGTGAGCGTTCTGGCGCAATATGGCTGCCGTCGCATTATCCAGGTTGCTGCTGCACATTGGTGGTGGTTGAGGAGATCCCCCCCTCTATGTGAAGTGCTTTGAGTGTCCAGAAAAGCTCTATATAAATGTAATGAATTATTAAATTATTATTATTAATTAATTTAATTTAATTGATTTAAATGCATTGTTATGAAAATATATAATTTGTATGTGTTTTTAAGTCTTGCAAGTTTAAGCGTTCAGGCAATGTTAATGGTTTCCATTACACGGGAGTAGATGTTAAACTTCATGCTGATTTGTACTCGGCTTTCGCCAAGATAAGCACAAACTAAGATGTAGCTTTACAGTAAACTATGCTTCTCCATCCATTTACACTTCTTTCCATATGGTGATGTGACTGTCCTTCTGTCCGGCGTTAACGGCTACAGTGTACTTGGCATGTCAGCACACACGACGGCTGCAACTACAGTGTGGTCTCCCCAGTGGACCAGCATGATAACCGTCTGGATTGAGCCGAGTAGGTGGGCACCTTCCGTCCTCAGTGTTTCGTCGACTAGCCCACGACACCTCAAGAGGGCTCGACAGTGACTCTGGCGTCCCAGAGTCACCCCCCTCCGTCCCCCATCAACTCAGCTTACTGACCTCTACATCCCTCCTGCTGCTGAGGTGGCTCCATCCTTGTAATTCACATGTGACCTAACCACTATCTCACAATCTCTCCACAACCCAACCATAAGCGCCAACCTCTTTGACTAAGGCTGTTGAGCCCCACTGTCTTCGTTAAAGTAGGTTGAGTGGCAACGGTTCAGTATGACATACCACCTACCGCAAAACACCACCCGTCATTCACGCACAGCCAGCCAGAATCTTTCCGTCTCAACCACAGCCAGTTGCTGCTCCTCTCTGCTGCTTCAGATAAGTTCTTTACTGTGCGACGCAACTCTTGGCCACTGAATCCGATGTTTCTGAGGAACCGGGTTGTAGAATGTGCCACAAATCCTCGACAACCCACTTCCACTGGATAAACCTGGACTCGCTGTTCTGCTTCAGATGCCAGATGAGCATACCGCAGTTTCTTCCTCTCATATGTTTCATCTACAGCATCCTCCCATAGCACAGTTAACTCTATCAGTTGAACAATGTGTGCTGATCCAGACCATAAAACAATATCTGGTCGTAAGTTAGTGGTAGCAATCTCAGGTGGAAAAATAAGCCGTTGATCAAGATCAGCCAGCATCTTCCAGTCCCTAACAACTTCCATTTGTTCTGGGCGAGAATTGGTTTTAACACCTTTTCTTGGTGGTTACTCATCTGGGCGGAGGAATATAGTCTTCTGCGTGTAATGTTTTGCTAGAACAGGCGGCAACTTATTGGTCATACTACGCTTGCCTTCCAATGCTAAAGCCAAACTTTGCAGTACTTGGTCATGGCGCCAAGTAAACCGACCTTGGCTAAGAGCCACCTTACATCCTGTCAGAATGTGCCTTAATGTGGCAGGTGATGAACACAAAGGACAAGAGGGATCCTATCCTACCCAGAGGTTTAGGTTCTGCGGTGATGGGAGAACATCATATGTTGACCTTATAAGGAAACTGATCCTACTTTCTTCCATTGACCAAAGGTCTTGCCAGCCCAACTTGCGTTGTTCCACACTCTCCCATCTCATCCACTCTCCCTGCTTGGCCTGGGAAATGGCCTTTATACACCTCATCCTCTCCTCCTGCTTTCGCACCTCGTTGACTACCAGCTTCCTCCTTTGAGCTGGGCCTGCCTTGTGCCATTTAGGAGGAGCTACACTAAGCCCAAAACCCCCTTTTCCATGCTGTACCTGTCCCACGATATGCCCAATTTGAAGGGCAGTCTTTGCCTCTACCACGTTTTTTTTTTTTTTTTGCTGACCACTTTCTACCAGTTTTTAACACAGGGGCTGCCTCCCTTACACATTTGTCGCGTGACTCTACTAAGGTCATTTCCAGTCTGACCTTGGCGCACATGAACTCGTCGGTTAAGGCAGAGACTAGCAGCTGCAATATTAATGCAATAGAGGGCTTAAATTGCATTGGTGTCCATTCAAAATTATCTGTTAACTTCCCCAATAACCGATTAGTGCGTATTCGCATCCCAGAAGCCAAGCGCTCTCCTCCTACTACCCATCTTAATGCCCTAATGATTACTTCCATTGCCATGGTAAAAGCCAGTGGAGAAATGGTGCATCCTGCCATTATTCCGACCTCTAAGCGTTGCCATGTAGTGCTGAATTCTGGAGTTGAGAAACTAAATTGCAAATCTCCAAAATAGGCTTTCACTAAATTTGTTATTGACATTGGTACTCTGAAAAAATCAAATGCTGCCCAAAGAAGCTCATGTGGCACTGAACCATATGTATTAGCCAAATCCAGGAATATCACATGGAGCTCCTTCCTCTCAAATTGTTCAATGCGGACTATCCCTTGTCCCCTAAAACACACAACAAAACTTAAGAGAAACAAGATCAAATCACTTACTGCTCTTGACTGAATCAGTCCATATTTAATGTACAGTGTAGAATATGCTGTTTTATGCATTTTTTTATTTAGTTATTAATTTATTAAATGACTGTAGTATTTTATTAGTCGTATAGTATTTTTTGCTTTTATTGCTCTCCTCATTTGTAAGTCATGTCTGCTAAATGATTAAATGAAGAAACTGATACACACAGTAGGAGGAGTTGTGATGCAAGTGACCACCATGTCCTTTTCTGTCAGAGTTACGGCAGCACAGTTGAAAACACTGTTCAATACATGATTCTCGCGAAATCCTGTCATTGCCACTGTAACAATAGAAAAAAAAACGTGATAAAAACTTGCAGCTCATCATTTGAAAGCCAGCTCCGTACGCACACCATCATTTATATTTTAGACGTCACTAACCCATAGATTTGCATCAACCCTCCCTCCGGAATATGCAGAAAAGGGCATGGCCATATTTCTGCGGCTAGTCGAGTGTGTTGTGTTCATCCAGCTGTCAGGTCTTCTGTGTTCGGGCTTCCCACGGACGCTGTACTTCGTCAACAATGGATACAATTCATGTTTGATTATGTTCCTGAAAATGATGATCGTAATCTAGCTCTCTGTGCTGCGCATTTTACAGAAGACAGCTTCCAGAATCTCCACGAGTTCAACACCGGATTCAACAAGAAACTGTTACTAAAACATGAAGCAGTTCCAACTTTAAAACCAGAGGCAGCAGTTGTTGGGCCACAACCTGTAAGTAGGCTAAGACTTAATCATTTTAAATGTATTTGCATGTGTTTTATTTTTATCAAATGCCAGCGCTGGCTTTATAGCCACTAGACTACTAGTTATGCAATTTTTGTGTCTACGACAAATGCGTACAAACATTGAATGTTGTATATGTACTAATGTTGTAAATGTGTTTTTCATGTTTATATACTTTATGATGTTATTTTCGATTTGATCAAGAACGTAAACCAATGCCAATGCTGTTTGTGTGTATAACGTTAGTAGCCAGTTAGTTCGATGCTATTTTGTAAAACAAATGTGTATAAAGTTAAAAAATATAGGCAAATTACCATTCAGAAACGTTTTGTAAGAGCCGTTTGTGGTGAGGTTCTGCTTGCCTCTCTTCATCGCCGCTTTCTGGGTCTGATTCTGCCTCATACTGATACTGCAGTATTGACACCATTATTTACATTCGCCGTAAAGGTAATGGGCGTGAACCTTCCTCACAACGTGCACTACAGTTTAGCCAATCACAACACACCGGCCCAAACTAACCAATCAGAGCCCACTGCCTGTTTTTTTGCGACAAGTGATTTAATAAATGTATTTGTCATTGAATCAGTAATTAATTAGATTTGTTCAAAAACTATGAATCCCCCAGTAATGAAACTCCAGTAAATCATTGTATCATTCATTCAACATTCTAAATTAAAGTAATAATAATAACAATAATAGTAATTTAAATTAATTATATATTTTTAAATAGACTGCAGCAATTAACATTTTGTCAGAACCTTTAGTAAATTACATATTTTGTTTAGTTGTCTATATTCAGAATTGTGACAAAATCGGGATCTCCATTTTAAACAAAATAAATTGTGATTCTCAATTCATCCAGAATCGTGCATCTCTAGCAGATAGTGAATGATACTCACGCAGGGTCAGAGGTCACAGCAGGTCCATTACTGAGATATGGGGGATTCATCATGGAGTTGTTACTCTTCATGGACACACAGCTGAATCCTGAAGATTGTCCATCACTGAGATATGGGGGATTCATCATGGAGTTGTTACTCCTCATGGACACACATCTGAATCCTGAAGATGGTCCATCACTGAGATTAGGGGGAATAATCATGGAGTTGTTACTCCTCATGGACACACAGCTGAATCCTGAAGATTGTCCATCACTGAGATATGGGGGATTCATCATGGAGTTGTTACTCTTCATGGACCCATAACTGAATCCTGAAGATGGTCCATCACTGAGATATGGGGGATTCATCATGGAGTTGTTACTTCTCATGGACCCATAACTGAATCCTGAAGATGGTCCATCACTGAGATATGGGGGATTCATCATGGAGTTGTTACTTCTCATGGACCCATAACTGAATCCTGAAGATGGTCCATCACTGAGATATGGGGGATTCATCATGGAGTTGTTACTTCTCATGGACCCATAACTGAATCCTGAAGATGGTCCATCACTGAGATATGGGGGATTCATCATGGAGTTGTTACTCTTCATGGACACACAGCTGAATCCTGAAGATTGTCCATCACTGAGATATGGGGGATTCATCATGGAGTTGTTACTCTTCATGGACACATAACTGAATCCTGAAGATGGTCCATCACTGAGATAAGGGGGATTCATCATGGAGTTGTTACTCTTCATGGACACACAGCTGAATCCTGATGATGGTCCATTACTGAGATATGGGGGATGATGCATGGAGTTGTTACTCTTCATGGACACACAGCTGAAACCTGAAGATGGTCCATCACTGAGATAAGGGGGATGATGCATGGAGTGGTTACTCTTCATGGACACACAGCTGAATCCTGAAGATGGTCCATCACTGAGATAAGGGGGATTCATCATGGAGTTGTTACTCTTCATGGACACACAGCTGAATCCTGATGATGGTCCATTACTGAGATATGGGGGATGATGCATGGAGTTGTTACTCATGGACACACAGCTGGATACTGGAGATGATGCTCTCTGGGTGTGAACAGACGCCTCCTCCTCCTTCTCCTCACACACACTCATTTTACAGGCAGGTTTCTGTTTCTCTTCTTCCAAGGAGACAAATGTGATTTCAGGCCTGTATGTGGCAAGAAAAAAACAAGAATAATACACTGAATTTTGACAATTAAATTAAAATGAATCTATTGTGTTTACTTATTTCAATCTTATTTCAGAAACTTTCTTAACTGGACATTTTAATTTAACAATGCTTTTTGTTTGTTTGTTTCCCCCCCTATTGTGCAATGTGCGGTTAAGTTTTGTATTTTCAAATTTCTGATAATGTTTAACATACCCCTGTGTTTCTCTTTCCCTCAGCTTAGAAATCGTAACAAATTAAGTGTTTACAGATAGCAAAGAACCAGATAACATTAAACATAATGTTTTCTGGAAGAACGTTTGTTGATAACTTTGAGAGAAGTTTGACGTTTGTCAGCTATGAGAACATTTCCTGCTACGTAAACAACTCAACTTTTTAATGAAGTTTCGCTATTTTTAATTGAAAATATTCTAATTTACATGATACATCATGTCATTCATAACTGAATAAGTTGAGGTAAGAAACTTGTGTTTCTTATTATACAAATAAGAGTGAATGTACGTTAAAGATTACGGCCTGTTTTTTTTTTTTTTAGCCCAATAATAAGTTTTGCTCTTACTTGTTTCTGTATACTTCAGTTCACAACAGTTTATTATTCTTTTCAGGTAACAGCACAGCAAGCTATAATCAGAAATACAATCTGTGTCATGGGTATTAGAGTTTACATCGTGAAATACGTCAGATAATATATAGTTTTAACGTGTTTGAGTTCGGTATAACACGCAGATGCTCTCCCTCAATCGATTGATTTTATTAATAATGCTATTGATATTATAGAAAATTATATTATAGAAAACGTTTTAACAAACTTACCATGTTTGAGGCCATTTCTGATCTTGAATTCTCTGAAATGGAGTCTAATTGTTGGTTTCGACCGCTTTCGGTTTCACTCTCAGGCGAACTCCGTAAACATCAAGCCCCGCCCCGAACTGGACACGTGCTCTCTACGTCAACTGCATTGGACCAAAGAAGTGCCACTTAAAATGAAATAAAGGAGGTATTTAATTTCAATTCAGAAGTAAATATATAGCCCTCTTATACTGTCTATATAGCCTAAACGAATAAACGCTTTTTAGCTGATAGATGAATTGGGTTTAAGGCGATGTGGGACAAGCGAATATGTAAATATCACCATATTATAGCTGGATTGTAAAGCGTTTTTCATGTCATTGAGGAGAGCAGGACAGTTGTAAAAGCAGGAACCCCATGTAAAAAAAATTCATCCATGTAATAATATGCAAAGTTGTAATAAACAATGTAGCCTGTAATAAGTAGTGTAAAGTAATGTAATAAAAAATAAGTTATTTTAAAAAAACATCAAATAATGTTAAGTAAAATTAAAAATGAAGAAATTATTACTTTTATTCAGCAAGGACACAGTCAATTAAATTCGATCAAAAGTGACAATGTTTATAATATCACTAATGTTCTATATTTTAAATAAATGGTGATTTTTTTTTTTTTATCTATTTAACCTTTGGCTAAAAGCATTAAGAAGGCAGACACCTACAGTATTTCACCACCCAGTAAAATAAATAAAAATACCTCAATGATATGAAGGACCCTGCTGGTTCAAATTGGATTAAATGTCAGAGACACGTCTTCCAAACAATACAAGTTTAAAGCTTATTTCAGAAAAATATCCTTTCCCCACTAAAAGCTTTCCAGAGAGGATGAACAAACAGAACAACGAACAAACTACTTGCAACACAAAACATCCAAAAAACTAAACAAATCTGAAAAAGATTTACTCACGAAGATTGGACAAAAAGCTCACAAAATACAATTGTCCAGAGCCCACGAATAAAGTGCAAAAAGTACAAGGTGTGCTTGCACTCAGTAAAAGCTAAAACTAAAAGCTTTCTAAAAATGTTCCCATGACAGTTTACCAATTAAAAACACACAGTTAATAAGACACTATACTAAATCCAACATCAACAGAAACGACAAAATCACACATTGAATCAGTGCAGCAATCATGTGACACTGAAGACTGGAGTAATGATGCTGAAATTCAGCTTTGATCACAGAAATAAATTATATTTACATTACATTTAGAAAACAGTTATTTAGAATTTTGAACAAGTTTTCCATTGCAATATATATTGCAAGACGAGCAAGAACGGCCACACACTGAATTGTCTGTCAAAACATGTTTTTACTTCCTGGATTGCATAGTGCAAAAAGTGCAAAGTGAATTAAAAACAAATGAACAGAAGCAAACGTTTCGGCACGTTGCTATCTTCAGTGTTTACTCTGCAAGAAACATTCAACTTTTGTATGTGTATATATATATATATTGCTATATATATATTGCAATAATATATATTTTACAACATTACTATTTTTACTGTTATCTTGTTTATTCCAAACATTTGGCTTGTAGTGTACATTAATATAATAATAATATAATAGTCTGTCAGCTGCTTGTGTGTTCCAGGCGGTTTTGTGTTTTGTATAGTAACTAGGGAGTTGTTACTAAGCTTTTCTGGGTGGTTGCTAGGCTGTTGGCAGTGGATTGGTCACTTATATGGTTGACGTAAAACCTACACAAAACGATCATAAAATAAACACAGAGGTAAAATCTGATAAATAAGGTTTGATTCTGCCTTTATTGATCTTCAATATGAGCCTGGTATCCAAGATGTTGATTTTCATCCACATATTTCCTAATGTAGCCTACCACAGGAGATCCTCGCTTTCATATTTTCTTCAACAACGAAATCCAGAGCCGCCTGAAGAAGAAAAGAAGTAGATGATTGAGTTGCAGGAAACAGCAGAAGTTGAGTAAGTGAGGGAGTGTAAAGCGGTCGACCTTCGCCAGGTGTGCAGCAACACCTTTACCCCTGTGAGATTGAGGGACCTCAGTAGACATCAACTCCACCAGCTGATCATGAGTGATAGTGTACTTCAGCACTGCACTACTCGCTGCTCCTGCTCACACACACAGACACGGGGATATTGTTATCAGTGATGCAGACTGGCTCATAACCTAGAGTGCTGCCTATCTAGAGGACATCAGCGCGACTGAATCTGCTGTTTTGATGCTCACTAGGTTTGAGACCGAATGAATAACGTTATTTTCTCATACCGTCGCAGTCGAGAGTGATTGTGAAACGCTGATTCAGTCTGTCGTGAGTCACACACAGATTCGAGGCGTCGGATCCACAACATGTGTGTTTAAGGAGTCGCTGACTGTTCTTATATCCTCGAGTGAACCAAAACATGAAGTTTACAGACAGTAAGTGTCGCGCCATGATGTGACGTCACCAAACACTGTATTTCAACAATAACAACAGCAGAGGGCGCTGTGATCATGTTTATTGTTTATTCCTCTCTCACATGATAGATAGATAGATAGATAGATAGATAGATAGATAGATAGATAGATAGATAGATAGATAGATAGATAGATAGATAGATAGATAGATAGATAGATAGATAGATAGACAGACAGACAGACATCCATAATCTTGCTGATTTATTTATTGAATTCTCTTCTAATTGTAGCACAGTAACACATTCTCCACTTTTACACTGTCCTTCAATCCTCAGACATCTCCACCGCTGCAGTGTTTCTGACTCCTGCTGCCATGATGGAGAAGAACAGGTTTGGGAAGAGAGATCTGGCATAGAGCGCTGCTTTAGGGATGAAGGAGTGGGACATTAAAATCTCCTTCTTCTTGCTACTCAGAGTCTTCAGGATCTCAGTGGCCATTTCTTCAGCGTTCACACCACAGGACTTCACTTTGAGGTCTGCAGTTTCCAGTCAGTGTCCAAGCAGGAGGTCCAGGGGAATATAGTGGACAATACAAACACACAAGGAAGATGTTATGAGCTACAAACCGTGATCTTTACACTATGAACTGACGGAGACGTTCACTCACGTGTCCACATGGGTTTCGCTGCGTCCTCGTCCTTTGAGTTTGTGTCTGGAGTTTTTATGAAGGTGTGGTTGACGGTGCTGACGGTTATTCCATATTCCTGAACCTCAGCCCGCAGACACTCAAAGAAAGCCTGAACGGCATGCTTAGACGCAGCATCTGAACAATGCAGAACGTCTTAAACTGAACATATGCATTGATTTATTGCTGATTAACTGTATGAACATTAAAGTTATAGTTCACCCAAAAGTAAAACTCCTCATGTAATTTCAAACCCATATGCTGTTGTGTTTTCCGTAGAGCAGTTTATTTAATGATCTTTAAGCTGGAAAAGAGCTGCATGATCATTCTTCAAACTTACGAAAATAACAGCATGCATGTTTGGACTGAGATGAATGTGAGTAAATGATGACCGAATTGATCCCTTTAAAACTCACAGGTGGCGCGGAAGGGAACGGTCAGTTTCCCCTGAATGCTGTTGACTAGAAGAATGTGACCCATTCTTCTGGAGATCAGCGACTGAAGGACGCCTGTGACCGTGAATAAGATCAGTTTAAAACGCTTGAACACGACTGAGAGTTATTGTTGACCGCTGTGTGGGAGTTACATGTTACCCTTAACCAGTGTGATGGGCCCAAAGTAGTTGACGTCCATGACAATCCTGTCCATCTGGAGGGACAGACTGTGTACAGGAGCCTTCACCTTCATGCTGGTGTTGAAGACGAGGACATCCAGACAGCCGTAACACTCCAGGATCTCAGAGATGATCTCAGGAACGCTCTCCATGTTACTGAAGTCCAGCTCCACCAGTTTGGGTGGAAACGTCTAAGCAGGAAAGTTAGAATTGAACCAAGTCACCGCGCAAATTACAACCAGTCTTAACAAATATAAAGTTCTGTCATATTGTTAATGATAATTCTGGACTCACAAGTGCTGGATCTGATTCACTCATCAGATGCTCAGCAAAAGTCTCCAACTTTTCCCAGTTATTTCCACAAAGGATCAGTCTGGCTCCACCAGTATGGAAGAGTTTTGCACATTCTGAAAATAAAAACTGTTCAACCAATCAATATTCAATTCATCGGCACACATATATCATCTATGGTTCATTACTCTATCATTCCTAACATGCAGTACATTTTCTTATCCTCAATATGTCACAATATACTAAAATTATAAATTGTATATATGAGTTTTCAATTATCACATTGTGTTAATATTAAATTGTTTCTGTACTTTTGTTTGAGCTGAGCTTGATGCCTTTTTTACCTTGCTATTTTTGTTTTAATTGAAATTAATGTATACATTTTTCTTATATACTGTATGTTACACCAGCTTACACTACTTCAGATCGCAATTCTCGCGCATGCGTCGTGGAAATCTATAAGGAAGTCTCGTTCTGGCCTACAAGGAAGAAAAGAAATAGTCAAATAAACTCGTTATTTTTGTTTGTTTTTTCGCACAAAAAGTATTCTCGTCGCTTGATAAACATATAGTTGAGCCACGGTAGTCACTTAGGATATTTAAACATTTTCTTCATTGACTTTCTGGGCCGTCAAGAGGCAGTCCCTTAGGAGCCAATGTGGTAGTTATACAGCTCTCAAATTTAATCAAAAATATCTTCATTTGTGTTCCGAAGACGAACGAAGGTCTTACGGGGTTGGTACAGCATGGGGGTGAGTAATTAATGACTTAATTTTCATTTTTGGGTGAACTAACTCTTTAAATATTACATTTCTCAGTATTTGCATAATTTTGAAGGGAACGTTAAGTCACAACAACATCCATGCTCAGACTGATCTCATGAAATTGTGTATGTATGACACGTATCACGTATTTTTGGCATGCTATCAACACGCATAATCTCTTTTCAGCGTGTTTATGAATACCGTTGACTTAACGTTATTATTGTATATATATATATATATACCCGTCACTCCTACCATCCTAGGAAAAAATAAATATCGCTCCCCAGATGTAGATCTACATTTTGTTTTGTTTCGCTCGGACATTTGACGGCGTGTACATACGCGGTACACGTGGAATCACTCGGACATTAATGTTGCCATGCTACGTGCTCAAGCTATGCGATTTGGTAACTGTTATATCTCTCTATACATTATAAAATGCGAAATCATGCGTTAGAAAGTGCATTTTCCAGAACAGTTTGTGTTGGCCATTGTTTTGTTTAAGATGTTCAGAGGCTATGTTGTTGACAACCACTATCTATATAGAATGTCATATAGATCAGTGTTGACAACCACTACATGTCATACAGGGAGTAAAGGTATCCGACGTTGGTTCGTTCGTTATCAAGTTAGGCTGTTTAACACATATTAGGCTGTTCACACATATTTTTAAACAGGTCTCCCTTGCAAAATAGGTTCTAAACCCAGGGGCTTCTCCTGGTTAAAAGGTATAATATAATAAATAATTAGTAGCCTAAAAACTTCCTTCTAGTTGTCATGGATACGCACGCTCCACTCTGTAAAGCGACTACTTGGGTGCGGTGACAAAATGTGAAATATCGTTTAACGTACTTTTCACAATGCAGCAGCGCCTGGCTCCACCCATATGAGTGAAAACTGTGTTGGTTGACTTGACAATGAACAAATGAACATAGTTTTAGACAAATATATTTAGATAGCTAAGCTTTAGATAGCCGGTCCACTGATGTAGGATGTAAACAACGGCAACCGGAACCGAAGTACCCAACATCCGCCCTCAAGGCGGAAGTTAGCATTTTTCTCGTGCACAGAGTCAATGAGATCCTGGTTGGTAGGTGATCAAATACAAATTATGTCATGCAATAAAATGCTAATTAATTACTTACAAATCATACAATATAATTTTCTGGATTTTTGATTCTGTCACTCACAGTTGAAGAGTACCTATGATAAAAATGAAAGACTTCTACATGCTTTGTAAGTGGGAAAACCTGCAAAATTGGCAGTGTATCAAATACTTGTTCTCCTCACACTCGCCTAAAGGATTATTAGGAACACCTTTTCAATTTTTCATTAATGCAATTATCTAATCAACCAATCACATGTCAGTTGCTTCAATGCATTTAGGGGTGTGGTCCTGGCCAAGACAATCTCCTGAACTCCAAACTGAATGTCAGAATGGGAAAGAAAGGTGATTTAAGCAATTTTGAGTGTGACATGGTTGTTGGTGTCAGACGGGCCGGTCTGAGTATTTCACAATCTGATCTCAGTTACTGGGATTTTCACACACAACCATTTCTAGGGTTTACAAAGAATGGTGTGAAAAGGGAAAAACATCCAGTATGCGGCAGTCCTGTGGGCGAAAATGCCTTGTTGATGCTAGAGGTCAGAGGAGAATGGACCGACTGATTCAAGCTGATAGAAGACCAACTTTGACTGAAATAACCACTCGTTACAACCGAGGTATGCAGCAAAGCATTTGTGGAGCCACAACACACACAACCTTGAGGTGGATGGGCTACAACAGCAGAAGACCCCACCGGGTACCACTCATCTCCACTACAAATAGGAAAAAGAGGCTACAATTTGCAAGAGATCACCAAAATTGGACAGTCGAAGACTGGAAAAATGTTGCCTGGTCTGATGAGTCTCGATTTCAGATGGTAGAGTCAGAATTTGGCGTAAACAGAATGAGAACATGGATCATCATGCCTTGTTACCACTGTGCAGGCTGGTGGTGGTGGTGTAATGGTGTGCGGGATGTTTTCTTGGCACACTTTAGGCCCCTTAGTGCCAATTGGGCATCGGTTAAATGCCACGGCCCACCTGAGCATTGTTTCTGACCATGTCCATCCCTTTATGGCCACCATGTCCCCATCCTCTGATGGCTACTTCCAGCAGGATAATGCACCATGTCACAGAGCTCGAATCATTTCAAATTGGTTTCTTGAACATGACAATGAGTTGACTGTACTAAACTGGCCCCCACAGTCACCAGATCTCAACCCAATAGAGCATCTTTGGGATGTGGTGGAACGGGAGCTTCGTGCCCTGGATGTGCATCCCACAAATCTCCATCAACTGCAAGATGCTATCCTATCAATATGGGCCAACATTTCTAAAGAACGCTTTCAGCACCTTGTTGAATCAATTCCACGGATTAAGGCAGTTCTGAAGGTCAAACACAGTATTATGGTGTTCCTATCCTTTAAGTGAGTGTATATGCCCCTAGTTTTAGTCTTAATATGGTGTTGACTTTACATAGGGTAAAGCTGTTTTGTTGTTTGTTTTGCTCTCCCAGTTTTAATATCAATCTATTTTAAATTCTCAATCCCTCAATGAGCAATGGCTAACTTTAGCTTTTTATCCTGCTAAATTGTCATGCCAAATTGTAAGTAATAAAGTTGAGATCATATTTATATTACACATTTCTGATTTACCCTTTTATCGAACTACTTCCTTAAATTACAATAGAGACATATTCGTTTTAAGGTACTGCATGACAGGAATGATCCAGTTGTTCTGAAAAAGTATAGCACCATTTCCGAGTGTTGAGAGTGAATCGGTAATCAGCACCACTTTGTTCCTCACAGTTGTCTTGGCTAAATGCCTGAGTATCAGACTGTAGAGATAAAAGACACCAGCTGCGACCACCACTGAGAGCACAGGCCAAACCGAGGTCACATCCAGCCTCTGAAAGAGACATTAAAACAACGAAGAATTATTCCATCAAAATAAGAAATATTTTAACATTTGCTCAGTCTAACGTAATTTCAAACCTTTTTCAAACAGTTTCGATGACTGTTTTGAAGAATGTCCTGTAATTTCACTGCAACCAGGATCTCAAAAGCTCCAAAAAGGTCAAAAACACTACCAATAGACAGTCCATTTGACATGCATTCTGGATTAACATGCTTAACATGTTTTATTTCTGAGAGGTTTCTCTTGAGAAAAAGACCCCAGTAATCTCATAAAAGAGTTTCAGACAAAATCTCAGCAATCTCTCAAACTGTCCTTAGATTTGCCAATGTACCTGTAAATATTCAAATATTTCATCAAATACTTTCCATTTTAATTTTACAACTCACTCTTATGTCACTTTGGGAAAACAAAAGAAAGAAAGTCATTCAGGTCTTTATAAATGCTTTATAAAATAAAACATAATTTCTTACCAGAATATCACTTATACCCATGGTGTTTCAGTAATGTTAGACCTTAAATAAAGGAAAAATAATATACATTAATAAGAATTATAGCCATTTATAAAGTTATGGATTGACTTAAATTTTATATCAAACTCTCTGAATCTTATTTTAGACAACCATGTCTATAACAGGACAAAGTATAATCTATGAAACCAGATTATGTTTGAATTTACTGCATTTTGCCTTTGTTGATCAGTAATGTAGTAATAGTTCTATTATATTTTGGCTTAAAATAAGAGTAGTTTATTTATATATTGCTGAAAAAGCACAGATATTTGTGACAGTCTATATATTACTTTATATTAAACAATAGCCAAGTCACAAAGTGAAACTCTCTAAAGTCTGTCTTGAAAGCTCTGTGTGAAGAAAAGCTCTAAATATATTCCAGAATTAGCCAAGAATTCCCAGCCTACATTTGTATTACTGCAGGACTGACTAAGAAACAACAACAAAATAAAAATCATTTGGTTTTGACAATATTTTCGGTCATTATTAACAACACTGAGGTAATATGTTTTATCAAAAGAGCACAACAGGACACAGTCAACACAACTAGACAGAGCTCATATTGTTCTTCATCACTTACCACTGAAACGAGTCTTTAAACGTGTCCTTTAGGATTAAATGAATCGGGATCGTCAGCTCACTTGCTCAGCTCTAAACACACACTGCAGGGTTTGAGTGCTTTTAATAGCCCACAGCTGAAGCTGTCGTGCAGAAACTGTTGTTAAGTTTAGAAGTAAAGCTTTAAATGGGTTGAGTCTTTGAACTGAGACTGAACTGATTCTTCCTCCTCAGAAAAGTCAAATTTACCATGATTTCAGATCAAAACTAATTAATTACCGGTATCCAGGGTATACAAAGCTTAAAGTCCAATGTAGGTAAGTTGAACTAATTTGGAAAACAACTGGAAGAAAATCTCAAATCTGATGTGTTTGCATGTGTTTGAGACACCATTAACCAGTTTAAAGTCTCTATTTCTCTCATGGAATTTAGTATCACCAGTTGTTGGGTGGGAAAAGGGTAGAAATCAACTTTGATCATGTGCATATTTGTTAATATGTGCAAGAATTACTAGTAACAATTACATTCATGATATCAGAAATTAAAATTGCCACTAGTAAAAATTGAATTATTGATATTAAAAATGAACATTGTTACTAGTAGCAATTCAATAGTGGATATCAAGAATAGACATTTCAACCAATTTAATTCTTGATATCAAAAATCTTCCTCTAGTGTGATCTGTATTTGACATCTTATGAATGCCTCTTATTTTATTTTATTTATTATTTTTCTTTAATTTAATCATCTTTGGAGTTTGTTATTCATGCCTGTTTTTCTTTTTGTGTTCTTGTATGTACTGTTTTCACGACAATAAAAAAAAAAAAAAAAAAAAAAAAGAGCTTCTGTGTGAATAATGTGTGTGTCTCCCTCTGCTGGACCAGTGATCAAACCTTCAGCCCGATCACACACTTCAGATTCAGGAGTGACTTTACAGTTTATGATCATGGCAAAAGCTTTCTTACCAAAGATGAACAAAACACAAACACAAAACTGTTAAAGCAACAATCATTTGTGGAGAAAAAGAGACTGAAACTGCAGAATCCCAGGAGAAGATGATCATCATCAACAGTTCAACTACAATAAATACACTTTTAGAAGATACTAACAACATTCACACGTTTATAGGAGACAATATCATTTAAAATTTATTTCTGCCATGAAAAGCTTAAAATAGGATGAACATTTAGATTCCACTAAATACACCTAAAAAAATCTAGAAAACGAATGAATTGCATAAAGCGTAGTGAACATTTATTTGCCATTTATTATGTATTAAATACACACACACACGCACGCACGCACACGCACGCACGCACACACACACACACACACACACACACACACACACACACACACACACACACACACACACACACACACACAGTAACAGGAAAGAGACACAAATAGAGACACTTGTTGCTCAGGCTTCACTTGTTGACATTAGTTTTTTTTTTTTTTTTACAATCACTTTTTTTTTACTATTTTCAGATCCTTGATGTGATTTTTCACAACTCTAGACAAAACACTCACAACCAATGATCGAACTATCAGCTGATACATAAAGCAAGAGAACTCTAAGGCACTCTCAAGTGGAAAAGTTAAAAAGCCTTTATTATTATGGCTTGGTCAAATTAACCATCTAAACAAAACTCCAACGCGTTTTCGGCTACATGCCTTCTTCTGGGAGTTAAACAGATCTCTTCTTCTTCTCTCGAAAAATGGCGGATTGCAACCAACTTTGAAGTGCATACCGCCACCTACTGTACTGGAGTGTGTAAAATCATGCTATTTAATTGTTCTCATATTCTACCCATCAACCCTGTGACTTTAAGAAATTTAAAAAGTGCCATTCTGGTGCCTATAATCCCTTTCCTCTCTCCTTCTGTTCCCAGTATCCCAATCAGATTCCATTCCCGTCCTGCTTCCTGAACCCCATCTTGTAACACCCGTCTTTCCAATTCAATATACAGTGTAATATGACATGTTCAGCATTTTCTTTCACCCCACATTTTTCACAGTTTTCACTATTCCTTTTCCCCATTAAATACAAAGTGCTATTCAATCCTGTGGTCCACTCTTAGTCTTGATATTATAATTTCCTCCCGCCTAGTCTTTTCTTTACAATTTTTAATACTGACACATTTTTGTACTTTATAATATCCCCTTCCTTTCGTGTCTTCTTCCCACCATTTCTGCCATATTCTCATACCTTTCTCTCTTATCACTGCTTTTCCTTCTCCTTTTCCGAGTGGAATTGGAACCGTTATTTCCTTCTGTAATGCATATTTTGCTAGTTTGTCTGCACTCTCATTTCATTTCACTCCCTCGTGTGCTGGTACCCAACAAAACTGAACATCTATGCCACCCCGATGTAATCTTAGCAAACTGTGATTTAGTTCTAATAGTAAGTCTTCTCTGGCAGATTCCATTGATTGTATACTTTTAATGACAGATAATGAGTACATATTACCATCCTATCAGGTCTTACCTCTTCCACCCATTGTAATGCAATGATGACTGCCACAATTTCTGCTGTGTATACTGATAACTGGTCAGATAATCTTTTCGACATATTTATTTTGAATTCAGGAATATGAATCCAACTCTCACACATTCCTGTTCACTCTTAGATCCATCTGTATAAATTCTGAGATAATTATTGTAACTGTTCCTTATATAAATACTTGTCTTGATTCCCACTTCCTCCATTCTCCATTCCCTTTTCTTTTCTAGGATACTAATATCTGTTTTTACCTCTGGGAAAACCCATGGTGGAATATTACTAACTGGGGTAGACGTGATGAAATCTAAGGCTTTTAATCCATATTGCTCCACTCTCTTTTCCCTGGTCCAGCCCCTGATACTTGTAGTATTCCCAACAGTCCTGTATGATCTCCTTAGTAGGGTTCTCTTTCCCACTTCCTTTCAATCTAATCCAATAAGCAAGTGCAAGTTTTTCTCTCCTTAACTTCAGTGGTGTCTCTCCTGTTTCTACAAGTATTGTGTTAGTGGGTGTTGACTTAATAGCTCCAATGCATACACGTAATGCTCTATATTGTAATCTATCAATTTTTTTTAAGAGATGTTTTTGCTGCTGCCCCATAAATGGTGACCCAACATGGTGACAAATAAATAAATTAAAATTATAAATTAAAAAATAAATAAATTATAAATTAAATAATAATAATAATGATAATGATCAACCACTGACCATTTACTATGTGTGTGTGTTTTTTTTATTATGATTATTATTATTAATTTATAATTTTAATTTATTTATTTTTTGTCACGATGTTGGGTTGTACTTAGTCTCACGTAGCCAGACCTTCAGACTGACGGCTGAAGGTCTGGAATTCATAGCAGCTTTCTTTGACCAAGGCCCGCCCATAAGGCCGTTTGACTTACATGTCAAACAACCAATTACAGTTCGTTTCGTTCAGCGCCACGTTTCAGGGCGTGGAAATGTCCCCACAACAACAGACCGGCGTGCAACAAGTCAGTCAGCAGCAGTTACTGGAGTGCCTTATGGATCAATTCGTTAACAACGCTCCGCGCTATTAAATTCGCCTACGAACTCGCGCTCATGTCCATCTTATGCCCGCTTTGTCAACGCCGCACATTGAATACTCACATGAGTCTGGCTGCGAATGTAAGTTACGTCCCCGCCACAGCGCGCTCACGCCTACTAAATAAACGCTTCACCTCCGGCGCCGCGCACTCGCTATTCCCTTTAGCCTTTAGTTTAGCACATCTAGTGGATGCATAACGCAAACCCAGTCAAACGTTTGACTCTGCAGTATCTTATGTGCCTTATAATCCAGTGCGCCCTATATATATGAATACTGAATCGGCCAGCTGCGATGTCAGCGTCTGTTTCATGTTTGCCCACAAACACGGCTGATATCCCCTTCGCAGTTAGGTACTTCACTTGATCTTCCATAATAGATAGGATGGGACATACAACTACGTTTAGCTGATCTTGATAAATGCTCATTGTCACCTTTTACTGTCTATGATTGTCACTCATAAACACAACAGTTTTTCTTCCGCAATCACACATCTGCGCTTTGTTTCCCGGCGGACCGAAAATAAACGCGACACTGACGCCCCCCGGAAATCCGATAAAATTCAACCAATCAGGTGACGACTTCGACATTCCTGAAGTGTTTCCAGTTAAGCGTACCATATGCATCAGACGTTTAGCCAACGTTCCGTGGGCGTGACGTCTGAGGCTGAGACTAGGTTGTACTTAATTAATTAGTTTAGTGGAAATGATGACATCTGCTGTCCCATTTGTGTACTGTTACCTGAGCACCTCTGTTGACAGATGGAGATTTCTGATTGGTGGACTGTTGGCTTATTAAAAAAACTCTGTTGGTTTGAGATCTGTTTAACTCCCAGAAGAAGTAGTTTTTTAGATGGTTAATTTGATCAAGCCATAATAATAAAGGCTTTTTAACTTTTCCACTTGAGAGTGCCTTGGAGTTCTCTTGCTTTATTCGTCATATTCAGTTTCCCATCCAAAGAGCACCTCTATTTTAACCAAACGTAGAAATCCAGCAAGCGCTCCTTTACCCCTACTGTTTGCTTTTTATCAGTTGATACAACTGCTCACAATGATCAGTCACTGTTGCGTTACTCTTAATGCACAGACACACAATCTTCCATGTTTACAGTAAATCGTTAAAGTTTAAAGATAAGAGATTCATTGTCACCAATTACACTACAATATCCATGGATGCAGCCACTGAAATATTAAATTTGTTTGGCATCAATATATCACACACTTTGTTCAGATTCCTCTATGTGTGTATTCTCTCACTACTGCAGTGCTTTTACAGAGATGTGTTTACTGTACATGTAGTCCATAATGAAACCTGGATCATCTATTTTGTTCTACAATATTTAATGACTGTACAAACAATGACTCAGTGAAACTATCGGTTGCTTGTGTGTGTGTGTGTGTGTGTGTGTGATCTATAGTTATGTTTCAATGGTGTTTCACAGTAAATGTGTTTTTTGAACCAATGAGTGTGCGAGTGTAAGATCTGTTTAAAGATGTGAACACACAATGCAGTGTTTTGAACATTAGACAGCCTGTGCTACACGTGATAACCGCTTTGAGTTTTGTGTCTAGAGTTGTGGAAAATGACATCAAAGATCTGAAAATATTAGCAAAGTGATTGTAAAAACTGTAATATTGTGTAATATTTCTCAGGATGTATTTCCACACAATGAAGCGCATTGAAAAGCACTGAGAGAAACTCGTGTTTATGACTGAACTCTAGACTGTTAAATCAGTTTTGACTCTTGCTGCACATTCATTCTTTGAAGCATTTAAATATGCCAAAATTACAGATGAGTATTTTATTAAAACATTATATACAATTATTAAAAGTAGGTTCAGATCTGTATAGCAGTTATCATGTATTTTCTGTGTGAAACTTTATAATAAAT